ACATGGATCCCTTCCCACATTTGTACCCACACTAGAAACATCTTTCTTGCCTGTTTCCCATGATCCTGTCCAAAGCCAATCTCTCCTCTTGATTAATAAAACCCATTCTCTCTTTCTCCTCCTTCATCACAGTTTTATAATTCTCCTTGGAAAAAAATTTCTTTAAAAGGTAGTTTATATTTGTTTTAAGTCCTCTCCTCCCATTCTTTCTTAAACCCATTATGTTGGGTTTTTGCCCTTTCAGTTTCAACCAAACTGCTCTTGACAAGGTCAGCAGTAACCTCCACATTGTTAAATCCACTAGTCAGTTCTGACTCAGTCCTCATTCTACTCAACTTGTTAGCTACATTTGACAGAGTTGATCATTCTTTCCCTCTTAATAACTTTCTTCATCTGAATTCAGAACACAACACTCATCAGAAGATTTTTCTTACCTAACAGGTTATTCCTTCTCAATCTCCTTTTCTGGTATTGCCATTTATCCCCTCTTTCATTGAGCTCAGTTTTTGGTCCTCTATCTATACTTCATATCATCTATATAGTGATGATGTTCACATTTGTGTCTTCAGACTGGACCTGCAGCTACTACCCAACACATCTATTCAAGTAGGCTTCTCAAACTTAAAATGAACTCCTGGTATTTCTCCCTGTTCACCAAACCTGCTCTTCTGACAACCTCTCACATGTCAGTTCATAGTAAATCCATTATGACAGTTATTCAGAACAAAAGTCTTGAAGTTTTCCTTCTTTCTTTTTCTCATATACACTACATCCACTCCACCATGAAATCCTATTGGATCTACTTTAAAAATATGTCTAATCTCCATCCATTTCTCTATACCTCCACTGTTTCACCTTTGATCTGAGCTGCCTTCATCTCTCATCTTAGTGCAATGCTATAATAACCTTCTAACTGGCCTTCTTTCTTCCAGTCTGTTTCCCTTCTTCAATCCACTCACAACACAATAGAGTGATCCTCATAAATAGAAGTTAGGTCATGTCATTCTTCTTTTCAAAGACCTGAATTTACTCCTCATTTCATTCTGAGTAAAAGCCAAAGTCCTTATAATGGCCTATTAGATCCTACATGATCTATCTGCATTCCCTTTTTACTTTTAAATATTCCATATTTCAGGGAATGGCAGTCTGATTTGATGAATATGCTTAAACCAAAAACTTTAGAGGCTTCCTTGAACTTTTCCCCTTTACTGTCATATATTCAATCAGTTATCATAACCTGTTGATTATTTCCTTGTATGTCTCAAATCCATTTATATCTTTCCATTGCTGATGACATTGTTTTTCCCCACCTCCCATTTTACCTCATCTCAAATCTATCGACTACATCTTAATACCAGAGTTATCTTTTTAGTTAAATGAAAATCTATTCATATCATTCCAAAGTGTGTTCAACTCCACATATCTTTCCCTTTAACAACTTTTTTGATAATTCATAAATTGATACTTGGAATATATACAAGAGTACCTTACAAGTAGGAAGTTTTAATATAATTCAGACTACTTTTGAAATGTCTCTGTCATAAATTCATTGGGTCACTTATTCAAAGTGTTTTATATTATATAATTCATTTTTGAGGGTATATTAGTCTTTGTTCTGTAAATAACATTTTGTCAAGATTAATTATTTTGTGTATCTAATCATTTATAAAATGAACTGTAGATTTATCTAATAATTTAGATTATATTTTTAATTTAAGAAAAGGTCAGCTACCTGTAAGTACAGACTTATGTTAATATCTAGGCTATTTCCATCTTAAAATTACTGTACATCTCAAATAATAATATTAAATAAGAAAAATAATAATATTAAACAGTAATGATAATAATATTAAAGAAGAATGTTATTTTCCATAGCCTACATGCATTCACATAAATAAGCTCATTTATTACTACAAGTACTCAAAGAGTAGATATTATTTCCCCTTTTCAGAGGAACAAATTAGAGATCAGAGAAGATAAATGATTTCATGAAAAATATTCAGCAAATCAGTAATAGAACTCTAAAATTTTTGATGTAACATGGGGGTAACATATTACATCAGGAAACCATAGTAACATGCTGTTTGAAACCATTTCAGCCATTAAAAGGTCAGATTTCGGTTCTGTTCAAAGGTCAGATCTGAAAATACCAGTTTTGGAATGTTTGGCAAAGTACAATTTCTTCACACATTTTGGATGGTACCACTGAAGTCCTGATAGCAGTAAAATGTGTGTGTTTCTATCCTTTACCCCTAGTGGTCAGAGATATGGGACTAGACCTATTGCTTCTTTTACTCTTAATTTTTATATAAATAAGTAAAATTTCTTCTTGTCTCAAAGGACAAGTGAAAAAATTAAAAAATTAATCATAAAAAAACCCCCACTTAGTGTACTAACTAAAATAAAGCTGATATTTTCTTAAAGCAAACATCAGAGGATTTCTCATTCCTCCCATTTTAGAATTTTAAATCTGGAACTAGTCATTGAAATAAGTATTAATTGAGGAATAATTATATATGCAGAACCTTTTTTGGGGCCCATACACCATTTTTATTCATAAATAATATCCCATTGTCTCCTCTCCTACTGAGTCTGGTGCATGGCAGACATACAGTAAATGCTCGTACTCAATGAACTAATGCTAGGCTTCTTGAATATCACAATGACTACTACTACAGATACTAACATTTATTGAGCACTAACTCTGTACCAGACACAGTGCTAATTACATGCATTACCATTCTATAAGGTAAGTTAATATAATTAATTGTTAGTTTAATTCTATAGCTAAGAAAATAATAGCATAAAAAGATTAAGTCTCAGCTAGCTGATAAGGAGTTCAGTCCCTTAGTTAATAAACAAACTTTGAGGGGCGCCTGGGTGGCTCAGTGGGTTAAGCCGCTGCCTTCGGCTCAGGTCATGATCTCAGGGTCCTGGGATCGAGCCCCACGTTGGGCTCTCTGCTCAGCAAGGAGCCTGCTTCTTCCTCTCTCTCTGCCTGCCTCTCTGCCTGCTTGTGATCTCTGTCTGTCAAATAAATAAATAAAATCTTTAAAAAAAAAATAAATAAACAAACTTTGATGGACTGACTTCAGTGCCTACAAAGTGTCAGGGATCCATCGATTCTACTTTACAGTTGTAGAAAAAGGAGAGAAGATAATAAGGAAACAAGGGAACAGTGTAATTTTACATAATAAATAAGGATATGGAAAAAGGAAAACAGGATAATTTGACAGAAGTGGAAAGAACAATGTTGAAACATGGTTTATCTTCTTTTTGTGTTTCCTTGTCTACAAATAACAATGACTAATTCATGTATCAGTTATGAGTTTTAAATGAGTTAATATACATAAAATGCCTAAAACAGTATATGATATATAGTGTTAAAGTTTTTGCTTAAAACTTATTGATTATTAATATTTATGATTGTTCTTTTTGGATCTTTGTTATTGTAGTTGTCATCATATTGAGGGCCTTACTGAAGATAAGGTGATCTGGGCAGGCCTCTATGAGAAAGTGTATTTGCACCAAAATCCAAATGACAGTCACATAATATTTTGAAGACAGAGATTCCAGGCAGCAGGAGCCAAAGTACAAAAGACCCAGGACTAGAATGCCTAGGAAAAAAGGCCATTGTGGGCCAGGATGCGTTTGCTCAAGTTTAGGTTAAAGAGCTGAGTAGTGGGATGCCTGGGTGGTTCAGTCAGTTAAATGTCCATCTTTGGCTCAAGTCATGATTCCAGGGTCCTGGGATCGAGTCCCATATTCAGCTCCCTTCTCGGGGGGAGCCTGCTTCTCCCTTTCTTCCCTCTGCCTGTGACTCCCCCACTTGTGGATGCTCTCTCTCTCAAATAAATAAATAAAATCTTAAAAAAAAAAAAAGTGAAAAGAGCCGGTCAGAGCTAGGTTATACTGAACTTCTTTGGGCATAGCGAGGAGTTGGATTTTATTCAAAGTTCAGTGAGAAGCCACTGATTATTTTATGCATGATAATGACATACTTTGATTTGCATTTTATAAATATCACTCTGGTTGCCATGAAAAGGTCAGATAATAGCTTCGATAGAATATCAATGTCACCACTTCCACTAATCATAATTTTTAAAATCTTAGTTTTCCTAGAGAAAAACTATTTTCTTGCTGTATTTTTGGAATGTTTGTATCAGTGCTCCTAAAAGTACAGTCAGAGTAATGGACTTAAGTATGGTGCATACATTTATATAATCATCGGCGCACTCATTTTGAACAAAGGTTACATGGAATACCCATATAAATGATACCTTCTGATTCTAAAATTCATAGTAATCATATCTAGTGGGTTTAAAAATCACATCTCTTTAAGGGAAAGTAGTAGCATAGTTCACCTACTTTAAATTATATAAGGGTAGGAGATCCTTTAGGTCTCACTTCTCATATTTCAGTCATTTGGTTTTACCAGTTATTAGCTTCTTGCCCCCTTCTTGCAAATCTGATTGGCTGGAACCAGATATGAGTTACTAGTGGGTGTGGTTACTTTCCTTAATCTTCCCCTTACCCCCAGCACTATTTCCTCACACCTCTCCTCTCCAAGTTCATACTGGTTTGAGTAGATTGAAAGCCCACTTAGGCCATAGTGTCCAACTCAATCTTACCAGGTTGATATGGGTTCTGTAGCCTCAAAGCAGCTATTAATAAAGTTGTATATTGATGAGTTGATACCACTGTGTGGAGAGGGGTAAATAGCAGTGGAAAAAGAGCATTTCTAGGTCTCTGGTTATTTCACTGCCATAATAGCATTAAATCATTATCTGTAACACGTTTAACACCTAAAAGACCATAAATATATTTAAAAAAATTATATCCACACTCTGACAAAAATTATAATGCCCTACATTGCTATACATGTAGGTGAACAAAAACAGTGCAATTTATATGAAGATTCCTCTTAACCCCTCTGTATCTCATTAAGGCTTTAGGTTTAAAAGTTCAAAAATATAGCTGCACAAAGTGAACTGCTTTACCTGTATGGCCAGTTCCCTCGTTCTTGACTTCTGTGGTTCCCACAGAAGAGGTGGGTGGACTAACAGGAGGGCTGGAAGTAAAGCTTGCATACCCTGCAGATGTGTTGATTTCGAAATATTCTTGGTTGTGATTCATTCGATGAAAATCCAGAGAAGACACAATAGATGTTCGTTGTTTAGGCTAAAATAAATGAGCATGATGAGAGTATTATGATCATGTTCATCTTCAGCCCAATCTCCCAATTGACTTAATATAAGTGATGTTTTTATCAGTTAATCTATCTGATTTTTATACTTAAAATATACTGTACTTCACAGAGAGATACTAAAGAATCTCTTGATAAATTAAATAATGAAGAAATTATTTAATGAATAAATATTTTGGCATAGTGGGTAAGGACTTTTTGTTATGTTTCCCCAGAAGACTGTACAAATACAGTACACAGAATTTCTCTTAATAATCAATTCAGAAAGTTGCAATTTTAAGACACCTTTCATTTAACTAACATTTGTTAAGTGTATGGCATTAAAAAAAAAAAAAAAGGATATGGCATTTGCCAGACCCCGAGGATAAAGAATCTAATAATAAACGAGCTCTTACAACACTGAAGCATAATTAAGGCAGTTCTGTTTTTTGTTCTCTATATAGTCCAAGAAATTGATAGCTTTAGATATTGTCCCCAAGTACCATATGCTGGAATTTGATAATCAGAATTAAGAAAAGTTATATAGAACATTTCCCAGGACTTAAGAATCTACACAGTATTTGTTGTGAATTTTGATTTCCTTTTTTAAGGATTTTAATTAATCCCTGAAGAGCAAGAAAAGTCAATTTAAACATAAAAGTTTAAATTATGGAGCAATAGCAGATATAATCTATACCCTTCACCAGTAATGGATTGTTCCCTATAGCAGCTTTCTGGGTTTTTTTCCCCCATAGTTTTAATTATATACACTTTTCTTCCTGCCTAGCAGAGCTTCTAACATTGTCCTTTAAAACTGCAGTCTTTTTGGCTCTCAGAATTGTGTGCATTTCCCAAGAATCAATCCAAGTTTTTTTACTTCTTATTTTTACTCATATTACTGAAATATTAACAATCCATTATAATAATTAACAAGAGATTAACTTTAATTTCTTTGCAATAAAATTTACTGTACTTTGCTATCTCCAAAGTATAGTAAACTCTTGGTTTACTGACATTTTCACTGCCCTCAAATACTTAATAATTTAACCACTGTACTCCATAGATTATTTTTCTGCAAAATATTCAGGCTACCCTCTTTCTTCCAGCTCATCATGGTTTTTTTTTAAGTAGATATCATTTAGTCTATGATCTAAAATATACAATGATAATGAAAAGGCCTCTTTATTTTTTATATAAAGGGTGCCAATTATCACACCATGCTTTATTATTTCACTATTACAATATTTTTATGAAAGAGGTTTAGAGGCATTGTTATATAAGCAAGTCACTTATATGACATATCAACTCAGTAGCAGAATTCAAATTAGTTCTCACATAGGACTCAGGTGACTGAAGTATGGAAGATCGGGGTGCAATGTCAGGCTTACTTTCTCATCAAATGTCTATCCTTGGGGCTAATGAATCTCGATTTCACATTCATGTTTTTTTCTACTAGATGATATAATAGTAAATAAAAGGCATGAAATATGGCACTGGCTCCAATGGAAACACAGTTATGTCCATCGTCTTTGTTTTGTTTTATTGTATTATGATTTTGTTTCATGTCATAAATAAGCAATGGACCATATTTGTATAATGTTCCTTCTCATAAACTTTATAAAGATCAAGCCAACTGATACATATGACACCTTTACTTCTGTTTCTCTTTTTATGAACAATTATTTTAATAAGTTGGATGTGAAGGTAAAGAAAACTTTATAAATAAATAGGAATTAGAAAAAAATCACTAGACCCAAAGTAATCTCTTTGTGCTTAGAGTTTAGTCCTAAAGATACATTTTTTTGGTGTTTAATTTTACTTTTCTGATTTTTAACTTAAATTAATTTTTAAATTTAATTTTTAATTTAATTTTTTGGTTATGTTCAGTTAGCCAACATATAGTACATCATTAGTTTTTGATGTAGAGTTCAATGATTCATTAGTTGCATATTAAAACCCAGTGCTCATCACAACACATGCCCTCCTTAATACCCATCACCCTGTTACCCCATCGCCTCAAATCCCTTTTTCTATAAACTTCACTTACTTTTGTTTCTTTTTTTAGAAGATTTTATTTATTTATTAGAGAGAGAGTGCAGAGAGAGAGAGAGAGAGAGAGAGCGAGCATGAGTGGGGGGAGGGGCAGAGGGAGAAGGAGAAGCAGACTCCCTGCTGAGCAGGGAGTCCTATGAAGGACTTGATCCCAGGACCCTAGGATTATGACCCAAGCAGAAGGCAGACATTTAACTGAGCCACCCAGGTGCCCCTACCTCTGTTTCTTAAACACATGTTTCTGAACTTGACTACCCAAAGTTCTAATTATATTGAAATCAAAATTTGTTATGCAACATGATTGCATGATTTTCATGATTTCATGAAAGCAAACAGGCTATTTTTTGTTGATGTATTGATTAATTCTAAAAATATTTGTGTAGTTTATACTAAATTGCAGATACCTTGGTAAGCAGTGTGGTAGGAATAAGACTAATAAGACATTGTCCTTGTTCTCCAGATTATTATAGACTTGAAGTGAGAGAAGGGATGGTGCATGAAGGAAGAAACAAGCAATCCAAGGATTATGCATTAGTGCAGTATTATACAGTGATAGAGCTATGATAAGGGGAGGCACCATATATAAAATGTAAACCTCTATTTTAGGGAGGGGATCAGGAAAGGCTCCCATAAGCAGGTGATTGATGGCTGAGTTGAATCTCAGTGAAGCAGATAGTAGGCAGACAAAAGAGGATGAGGAAAAGAAAAGAACAAACTGCAAATAGTTCATAATGGCTATAGTGCAGAGAATGTGAGGGAGTGGTTGTTTCAAACCATGAGATATTACAGGTTGCAGGGTCTAAATCATAAAATGTTCTAATGCCATGTTAAGTATTTTGTCTTTAATGTGAACATTTTAAGAAACCCCAGAATGATTTCCAAGCAAGAGGATTTCATGGTTGGATGTGCATTTTAATAAACTCATTTTAGCAGTTTAGAGAATGGATTGGTCAAGGCTGGATTAAAGGAAGGGAGACCAATTAGGAAGATGTTAAAGAGTTCTAGCCAAGACACAGTGAGGTCCTGAGGTAAAGCAGTGGCAGCAGGGTTGGAGATAGCAGATATCTTTAGGAGATGCTAGTAAGGTTAGCTCTTTAGGTCTTGGAATCTGGTTGGACAAGAAGCTTAATCTTAAGAAGTCTAGGGTGACTCACAGATTTTTCTTGAGTAGATGCCAGAGGATAGGTTTTTGTTTTGTTTTGGTTTGGTTTGGTTTTGGTGAAAAAACAGAAATATATGTAGTCCTATACCAGAAGTATACAAGATGTATGCTCATTTACTCCTGGGATTCAGTATAGACTGCTTAATACATGGTCATGCAAATCTATGTGATACTTCCCTTTCTTTCTTTAAGTGGAATGCTATGATCTCAGTGTAACATGGCTTCAAATAAAATAAATGGAGGAAGGGAGACAGGCTAATGGAAACCCAAATAGAAGAAACCATGGATCAGTGATTATCTAACCGTATTCTTATTTGCTTCTTCAGAACTGTCTGTTTATCATTTACCCAGGAACACTGATGGGGGAGTTATTGCCCAAAGTTCTATGAGTATCTAAGATGATGAAGAATGAGAATCATTACATGTAGTTCATGCTTTAAGAAAGGGATTGAAAGAAACTATGGCCTGTGGCATATCTGTGGCCCACATCTGACCTGCCTCTTATTTCTGAAAAAAAAAGTTTTACTGGGACACAGGTAGGTCCATTCATTTATTTATTATCTATGGCTGTTCTCATGTTACAGTGGCAGGGTTGAGAAGTTGTGACAGAGGCCATAGTATTCACAACCCTTTAAATATTTACTGTCTTGTCCTTTAGAGAAAACATTCATTGACAAAACCCTGTTCTAAGGCATCATTTTGCATATCATTTTAGGGCTTAATGAAATCATAAGTATACTTTTTCATTTATTTCCAGCCTATGTGCATTTAGATTGGGGGGCATATAACTAATCCTGACCAAATGACTGTTAATCAGTCTCTATGCCACTCCTACTCTTCAAAAGATGTAGTTGTAAGATGAGTGAGGGTCACTCACTCATTCAACCACACTGGGCTTTATGAGAAGTTGAATTAAGCCTCTTTTATGTTAAACTGCTGAGATTCTGGGTTTGTCTGTTGTGGCAGCTAGCATTACGTACCCTAACTAGCACAATACAGTGGCTTAGAGGGGTTAAAGGATTTACTCAAGATTACATAAATAGTTAGCAGAAGGGCTTGGATTAAAAGGAAAGTTTATGTGTTCAAATCTAGAGACAAGTGGATGCTGCCTCAAAGCACAAAGGACAGAGGTGGGATTTTAAAAAAATGGTATTGGAGGAGGAGTCAAGATGGCGGAGAAGTAGCAGGCTGAGACTACTTCAGGTAGCAGGAGATCAGCTAGATAGCTTATCTAAAGATTGCAAACACCTACAAATCCAATGGGAGATCAAAGAGAAGAAGAACAGCAATTCTAGAAACAGAAAATCAACCACTTTCTGAATGGTAGGACTGGTGGAGAAGTGAATCCAAAGCAATGGGAAGATAGACCGCGGGGGAAGGGGCCGGCTCCCAGCATGCAGTAGAACAACGGAGCACAAAATCAGGACTTAAAAGTCTGTTCCGCTGAGGGACATCGCTCCAGAGGCTTAACCGGGGTGAAGCCCACACGGGGTCAGTGTGGCCTCAGATCCCACAGGGTCACAGAAGGATCGGTGGTGTCTGAGTGTCACAGAGCTTGCAGGTATTAGAACGGGGAAGCCGGCTACACAGAGCTGAGGAGTGAGTTCACAGCTCGGGGTTACCTTGAACCGGTCGCAGGCTCAGTCAGCTCAGAGCGCGGCCGGAGGCCAGGGTGACGGGAGTAATTGGGCGCTATTCTCTGAGGGCGCACTGAGGAGTGGGGCCCCGGGCTCTCGGCTCCTCCGGGCTGGAGACCGAGAGGCCACCATCTTCATTCCTGTC